TTACTCAGCCTCTCATCCTACCCTCACTCGCACTTCTCCTCCCCTCCCACACCAGCACTGGGAGCAGGCACCACTTCTGCCACAAGCCAGGCAGCAGCTCTCACTCCACAGTCCAGCTCCAAGCATCTGATCCCCAACCATGCAGAGTCTCAGGGGCTGGAGGGCAGAGGCAGGGCATGCATGCATATATATGTGGGTGTGCATGCATGTATGCATGTGCTTGCATGGGGTGGGGGGGGGGTGTATCTGTGCACCTGTGCATTTGTCTGGAAGGGGGCTGGCACCTGGGGGTGACATCAAGGCACAGCTGCACTGCCTAGGCCCTGCTGGAGACCTCCCCTCTCTTTCCCCTTCCCTGCCCAGGTCCCATAAGCAAGCAAGGCAAAAAAGGGAACTGGGAACTGGGCAATGCAGCCACAAAGGGCAGGTGGGGGGAGGGAGGAGTACTCTCGACACCCCTTAGTGGTTGCATGGCCATACAGCCCTGGGGCTTCCCATAAGAGAAGCAGCTCTGGACAGGGTCTGGGGAACCCTGGTGGCTTTCCCTGCTGCAGCCCTTTCCCTGCTCCTGTAACCCCAGGGGGTCTCAGTGCTGGAATTTCCCCAGCCAAGGGTGGGAGCAGTGAAAGAAAGGGTGGGAGCAGTGGCACAGAAAGGGAAAGTGGGGTTGGGAGAAGCAGAGTAGGGGAGTTGTGGGGGAACAGGTGCCATTCCAGCCTCAGATCCCCCCAGGCAGTGCCCAGGCAGTGTGCCAGGCTCTCAGCCCTGGCTGCTCTGGGGCTCTGCGGTCTGTGGGTATTTGATGATCTCCCCCCACAACACATGCCAAGTCCCCATGCTTCTCTAACTCATCCAGGACTGAAGAGACCCTTTCCAAACCATGCTGGAAGGGAGCAGGTCCCCAGCCAGGCAAGATGGCATGGAGCAGGCACCAACACTCTCCTCCCTCCTGGGCTGCACAGAGCAGAACCAACCCCCTTCTCCTCAGCCCAGAGCCTGCCCCATCTGCAAGTCCTGCTGGGCACCCACTGGCCTTCTGGGGTGGCAGGAGCTCCACAGGGCCTGGATACCCCCAGCACAGAGCCAGCTCCTTCAGCTACTGAGGGGGCCATGCTCCCAAGAGCCAGGATGCACCCTCCCCTCTCCTCTCCACCCCAGTCCCATCTGGTTCGATCACTGCTGTCTCAATTGGCTGGCAGGAGCAGGGTGGATGGACGGCTTTTTCAGGCTTGGCTTGTGCTCTCAGGCGGTGCCAGGGAGCACTAACCAAGCTTGCAAAGCCCATGGAATACTGGTGGAATTGCCAGAAATTTGACCAGCATACAGAAGTTATTTAAAGCACTGTAGGTTGCTAGAGTGCTGTAAAATGCAGCACTTCAAAATTAATATCTCATTTATCAAGAGTTAATTTAAAGCACTGTACTCATGTTTTAAAGTCTGTAAAGCTGTGCACACCTGGTAAGTCATGGCAGTAAAGCACTTTAAATGGCAAAAAAAGCAACTTCTGTCCACACCTTCTATCTCTCGAGTCCTAGCCCCAACAATCTGGATTCAATTCTTAGCTCTTCTACAGCTTGCTGCATGACATGAGGTAAGTTATTTAGGCTGGTATTTATAAAGTATTTTGAAGTCAATGGGAGCTTTACTATAGATGTCTAGTAGTGGAGTTAAATCAACATTAAGTGCTTCTGAAAAATCCAGCCCCAAATCTCAGTTCCTCATCTGCAAAACAGGGAACACAATACTTCCATTTTCCTATCTTCTGCTTGTGGGATCTTTTTTTCACAAATACTGCTTGGTGTCTGTAATATACTGTATACAGCATAATGGAGCCCAATCTTGATAGCCCCTTTGGGTGCTATTTAATACAAATAAATAAATAAATAAAATAATAATATTTATGAAGCTTTTAGGCAAGCCTGGGTCCTTGATCAATAGTGCGAGCGAGTAATTGACTTATTCTCTCCACAGATGTGGGGCTATTAGCAGAGAATTTCTGTACCTGCCATGGAATCACTCCTCTAATTTCGACCCTCTCCCAGCACAGAGCTCATGTAGTCAGGGTGAGTGTGCAGTCCAAGTTTTGTTTTTATGAACAAACAACACCCTACATCTTCATAGCATGCCTTTGGTCCCCAATATATATCCATCACAAGGTCATGCATGACTTGTGAGTTAAAAAATGTCTCCAACTAGTTATTTAATTGCAGTGGAGATCACTGACTGAACAATTCACTCTGCCTAGCAAAGTAAGCCTTTTGGAAGATATGTCTAAGCATTGACCAAGTGTCCATACAAAGGGCTTCTTAGCTGTTAATGTGGGCTACTAAAACAGATTGTTTTCCTGACTTTGAAACATGAGACTTTACAAACTTAATATTCTCTTGACCATTAAAGTATGTTTAACTTGTGATTACAACAGCTGTGAATAGGCATATGAAACAAGAGTAAATGTATACTAGTTGACAGTAGTCTAAGGGCCTTGTTGTGCGTTACACCTTCATCCGCACAAATGTTGATCAGTATTAGTGCTGGCTTGGAGTTTGGAGCAGTTACCCCCATAGTCTAGAAACCTTCTCTGACTGTCCCCCACATGCACAGCTGTGACTTGCCACTATAGGCCTGGTGAGCAGGGACAGGACTAGGAGCTCCAGCTGTGAGTTGCCACTAGAGGGCTCGTGAGCCAGGACAGGCTTCCATCCCATTAAGATTGGGGGTGTGAGAGATCCTGGGATACTGGAGGGGTTCAACTTGGGCAGCACATCAGTGAGGAGTGGCCATACCTTAAGGGAATAGGAGCTGGGAAGCGCAGATCAGAGATAATCCTGCCTTGGAGTGGCGTAACTTTGAGCCGCAAAACAAATGCTTAAAACCACTGTAAAATGTTAATGTGCAGACAGTCCAGAGCTCCAGGAGCCACCCAAAATTACCATGTAGCAAGGCCTTAACCTCCACCTCAATACGGTTATTTAGATTGGTGTCTTGGCCGTTTATTCACATTCACAAAATATTTTTTGGCTCAAATCCTTCAACCAAAACTAGTAATTTCTGACCATTTTATCCCCAATAAGAGACTTTATACATAATTTTTCTGTCTCAGGGAAGAAATTAACATATTTTAAATTGCTTGCCCAATGGTTGTTTAATAATCTATGATGAAACTCCATAATTCATCTCCTCTGCAACTATGAAATCAGCATCTACAGTAAAGTATACCCAAACTTTGAGAACCCAGATAAAAACAGTCAAACTGTTGATTCAGCTTTTGAAAGAATAGAAGAGGTACATGTGCAAGGGACTGGGAGAATTGGGGAGGTGTGAGAGAGCCAAAAGGAGAGATAGAAAGCACTGAGGTGGAGTAGGGCAATGAGAACCAGAAGAGAGAAGCAGAAGGCCATGGAAGGTATAGGGAACTGAGATTTTAACTTTACAACCCACTACCATAGAGCAGTCTCACATCAGGCAGAAAATATGGCAAATGCATAGTGTGCCATTGTTTAAAGTTGTTTGAGTGAAAATAATAAAACTGCAGCATTTAGCTTTTTGTCCATGCCTGAATCCCAATCCATTCACACACGAACAAAAATGGATACTCTTGTCCAATCAAGCTTATGTTCCATTTGAATGTACTATACATAATGTACAACCTATTCACAACCCCTGTTCAAGCACATTTTGTTGTGCAGGCTAGAGGTAGGTGAAGACACAAAAAGTATCAATTAATACTTTAATAAATATTAGATTTACTTTGTCTGTGTTTACTCATTTATGTTTGCCAACTTTACTAGAAGAAATATTAGCTGGAACGGCAAACTTGAAGTAACTGTATAAAGATTAGAAAATATTCATGGTAAGTGAAATTTGATTATATGCCTATTATGACTGATTCCAAGAATCTTACTTGTTGATCAGGATGATGTGAATACAAAAAGACCCTGTAAAAAAGAGGGACCTTGAAGTATTTGTAAAGATGTTTTCATAAATAGTAGAGTCGAGAAAATTATAAGCTGCCTGTAGACATTTCACAAACTAGTAAATCTAAATTTGTCAAATATATTCTTTGCTAAAATGATTTTGCCTGGCTTTAATTAAAAACTATCTGGAATCTCTGGAGCATTTGTGATTAATTTTATGGACTTAATATGATTACTTAAAATATGTCTTCCAGTTGAAAATCTGTACTATAATATGTTTGTGTTTTAAAACTTTCATTTTTGGATTTGATCTTAATAGAGGCTGATTTTGCCATATGTATCACAGAGCATAAAATGCATCTAGAGTTGAGTGTAAGCTACAAATTTCTGATCTGTATCCATATACATTACACACACACACAAATGTTCAGATGCATTACCACATTTTATCCTTTCCATCTGGAATATGTGGGGAAAGACTGACTTTCACACACACAAGAATACATTATTGTTTCCGATTTTTTTGTGTTAAAACAACTGTTTTAAAGTCCTAGCAATAAATACGATAAGTGTTACAATATGAATATGTTTAAAGAAGAAAGTGTTTTAAAAGTATATTCAATATAAACATTAATAAACAACTATGGAAAAAAGCAGAAAAAAACTTTTTCTTTTTTTTTAGTGTTGGAAAATAAAACAGCTGTCATAAGTGCTGAAAGTCTGGATTTTGCTGCTAACGCACCTACTCTGAGTACTGTTGACAAATTTGTAAGTAAACTGCAAATACTTTCAGATACCACTACATTCCAAAGGAAATTGCATTAATAGGGAATTAAATCTAACTTTAAAAACAGAATGCACCCCAAATCAATAAAGGTCAGAGAACTATAATAGGAGATGCCTTACACAAATCATGAATTACCGTTTGCCATTAGATTCTGAGATTCTAGTTTACAGCTACTTTCATGTTACCTGTTCAATGTAAGTGCATCTCTGCTGTTCTGCATGAGTGTTTCTGAAATAATAAACTGGAACATACTTAAATGATTAAAAGTCATATTTTAGAACAGACCTTTTATCACTTACCTTGTTTGGTATTACTGCAACAGTATACAACGCAATTATAAAAATGCATAAAACTGAGTGGATTTTCTTCCAGTTATTCTTCAGTTCTCTGTCAGTGTAGATAGCCAACAAATGACAAACTGACCCTTTTTCCTTTCAGGGAAGAACGAATATAAAGGCTAATCACTGCTACAGGAAGAGCATTATCTGTTACATTCCTGTTCAGGATATCATCCTGACTCCTTGTTTTTTGACCTACAAAAACAGGAATTAAAGTCTCTTATGAAAGAGAGTTGTAAACCAGATGTTACACATTAAATTACTTTATAACTTTGAATTGTATAAGTTTCAAGAACAATTTGCCAAAATATTCACATGCTTCTGTCTAACATCAGTATTTAGGCACCTTGACAGAGGTGGTCTGGATTTTCAGAAATGCTAACTACTCACAACTTGAAATGCCTTTCAATTAAAGGTAAGGTGTTGAGCATCTCTGAAAATTATGCCACTCATTGCAATGCCTCTAAATTATTTTTTAAGTGGATAACATTAGGTACCCAGTTTTGAATATTTAGATCATTGAATTTATACTTTGATTTTTAATGTTCATGTATTGTTTACATTTAGCTTACAGTAGCTGATTAGAAAAAAAACAAGCTGAGATGTCAACAAGCCCACATTTGTACATGTATACAACATGGATAGCCATCTGCTTCCCTGAGTTCATTTCTGATAGCAATGTCAAAAAAAGAGATGTTATTGATTAAATTTTCCATTGAAGTGATAAGCACAACTTATTTGCCACAAATCTATGGACTTAACTTTTGGAGGAGCCTAAAATGAAGGTTCAGATCTGACTAGAGCTTCCTAAAAGATTTTTACTGCGTTTTTATCTTTTGCAGCCAGGCCTACAAACACTGAAACTGAACAGGAAATCTGAAATGCTTATGATGCAAACTTGCTCACAGCTCTCTGAAGAACTTTGCTGAGGTAATCCATAGAAAGTAAGGTAGATATGCCCCTTATGGACAAAGTAAATAGAGCATACACTTTTGTGAACTTCAGCTCACTTCATCAGATCCTGTGAAAGGACAAGCATAGAGGAGTGTATAAGGTGGAATGAGTGATTTGAATACAAAAGGTAGGAAGGGAGGAGGGAGAGGAAGGGGAGAGGGGAAGAAGGGAGAGAGACTGTACTGGGAGAATCAAAAGAGCAAATAACTCATAGGAACAAAGGCGTCACAAAAGCTAATCCAGATAACAGGATAAGAATCTGTATTCCCTTTTTAAACCACACAATCCAGTCTGTAGATGATTTCTTGTTCTGCAGTTTCCTGTTCAAACTGGTTTTGAAAATTTTGCTGCCTGAAAGCAGCAATCCGGAGATCAGCAATGGAATGTCCAGGGAAGCTAAAATGTTCTGCTACAGGCCTTTTTCTTTCTGCAGCTGACATCAGATTGGTGTTCATTCATTTTTATTCATAAAGGTTGCCTTGTCTGTCCAGTGCAGACAGTAGAGGGGCACTGTAAGCAGGTATCTGACCAATATATGGCATTGGTAAATTGCACGAACATTGGATGTTGGATGTTGCTCTCCTTGTTATTCAGTCCAGTCATGATGATGTTTCCAATACAATACAGCTAGTTTCCAATACAATGTGGAGGCACAGCAAGTATTTGGGCTCACTGCAATGCCTGGTGCCTTAAAGAAGATGGATGTTAGTTTGGTGCTTGAGAGATGCCATTTGAGATTGGGGGGGCTTCCTGTAAACCAGGACAGGAGCTTTGCCCCCTTTGGCTATCTTGAGACGGTCTTCCTTTTTCAAAAGGAGTTGGAGGCCATCCATGATGTGTCTAATGTGTTCAAGCTGGAGCCTGTAGGTGACAACCAGAGAGATTCTGTTGTCTTTATCCCAGAGTTGGCATTGTAGCAGGTCAGAGTGAGAACCTAAGTCTGGCTTCATTGATTTGAGTGGCTACAGTTTTGAGAGTCCCTGCTCCAGATATTAAGGTATTTACCCCAGCTAGTGGGATCAGAACAGATATTACTGAGTAGAACTTGGCTGTAGACAATGGATATCAATAGTGTGCTCAGGGTGAAAGCTTGTGGCGTGAAGGTAGCTGTGGCAATCAGCTAGTTTCCAATTCAATGTGGTGGCAATATGGCCATTGCAAACTTTCACTGTAATTTTTAGGAAATGAATCTGCTGGATGGAGTATTCCAGAGTTAGTTTGCTGGAGGGCTGGAAATTGTTAAAGTCTTGGTTAAGTTCCTTCCCCTGTGTCCATATTATGAAGATGTCATTGATGTACCTGAGGTTTATCAGGGGGATGAGAGAGCAGCTGCAGAGGAAACGGACTTCAAGGTCTGTCGTAGATATGTTGTCATATCGCGGGGGTGGGAGGGGTGGGTTACATGTGCTCATGGCAGTGCCTTTTATTTGTAGATATAGGAAGTCCGCAAATCTAAAATAGTTATGTGAGAGGAAAAAGTAGGAGAGTGTAATGGAAACAAGCAGTTTTCTCATCAGGGATGATATTCTTTATGGCTTTTACTCTGTCTTCATGGGGGATGTTGCTGAACAGAGATATGACATCCATGGTAGTTAATATGGTGTTTGCTGGAAGCTTGGACAATGGACCCTAGTTTCTTTAAGAAATCTGCCAGGTCTTTCAAATAGCTGGCAGCTCCAGTGGCATATGGAAATAGGGTAGAGTTAATATAGTCAGAAACTCATTCCATGACAGTGCCAGAGAGAGTGGGCTGTTCTGGGTTGTCAGATTTGTAGATCTTGGCTAACAAGTAAAAGTTGCCTGGCCTAGGTTCCTGGGAGGTGGAAGGAGAAATTCTCTTAGTGTTCCCAGAAGTACATCCTTTAAGAGTTTACCTAGTTCCTCCTGGTATTGTGCCATGGGGCCCTCTGTGAGTAGAGATACGCACCTATTCTTGCAAGGCTCCATACAAAGGAACAATACAATGGAGACAGCTTTAGCAGTTAATAACATGTAATGTTAACTCTTTCTTAAATGTCAGCATCCTTACAGGACGAACAATATCTAAAAGAAAATGTAAGACAGAGAAAAAATACCAAATAAAATGCATATTATATGATGAATGCACAAATTGCACTCTAGTTTACAAAGAGACTTTGTCATGCTTTATAACATGCACATAAGGCTGAAATCCAGTAGGGTGAGGAGTTGTGCATGAGATGGGGCGGTCTGCCCCTGGATAGAAAAATAAGCTCTATCTCCACCAGACGAACCATGAGTCAGATGCTTCTTTTCATTATATTCTTTGATTCCACTCCCTCCCCCACCCCTTCTATTGTTTTACTGCTGCAGAAGTATACTAGTGAGCAAGCCAGATGTACATTTTGGACTGAGACCAATGTTTTACAGTAAAATCCTACCTCAATTCTCTGTGGGCCAAGCAACTTACAGCAGAAAAAGGCTGCGGTCAGTAACAGACTAAATTTTGTTGTTAATGCAACTAAAGCTGAAAACAGAAATCATCTCCTAGGCACCGATTTCTCAGCTAAAACTTCAGGCTGTGCACAGATAGTATTATAACAACAAATATCTATCAATGCAAATTTACTCTATTTTTGAATCACTCAAGGCTCAGTCTTCATGGGAATGAAAGATGTGGCAGCAATTCAAAATAGGGGGAAATAGTATAATTGGGGTCTAAAAAAATTTTTAAAAACCCATTAGAAAATCTGCAGTAATGTCCAAACAATGCCAGGCACCAAAGGTACAGGCCTTATGCAACACTTAGGCTCCAAGGGCTTAGTTTTATAAGGACTTACGGTTTAGGCTGTGTACACACATTCAAATAATCTGGGAAAATTCTCCCAGGTTTGTTTTGGTAGAAAAAAACTTATCTCAAGATGCCTGAACAGACATTCAAATACTGAGCCCCTGAAGAGCAGAGCTTCCAGTGCTGATGCTGCACAGCAAGAGGGCCCCTGTGAACACATCTCAGCATGCTTTGTAGGTTCCCTCAGTCTGCCTGGGGATAGAATGGGAGCAGTGCACAACACAACCCTGACTGGCTGATGCAGATTTTTTTTGGCATCTCCCTGCAACACAACATGGGGGGATTGTGAAGGGGGCATGTTTTGCTCCCTGCTCAGCTGAAGCAGCAGAATGCAGCAAGTGACACATTATCTCTCTGGGGTGAAAGGGGTGGAAGCAAAGCACCCTGAGATGCTAGAGGACTGTGGTGCACCTTCTCTCAGAAGACAACATGTACAGACATTGACTCTTCTAAGAGAAACTGTCTTGGGAATAATTCAACCCTGGTTGTCCCTGGGATATTTTTTTTTCCTGGAGCAGCCATTTTTGCTCTGGGTGAAAAAATCCTGAACTTTTGTAGATTAGTGGTTTCTCCTGGGAGAGCAGCAACTCTCCCAAGAGAAACTGAATGTCTGTACATGGCTTTAGTATTATGCTTAATAACATGGGAAACATTTATGTTGATCACTGGCTTCAGGAGGCACACAGGATGGAAGTCACTCCAATGCAGAACTGGCAAAATGCTTAGGTGCCCCTTAAGTCTTCAACAATTGACTTTAAGTGGAAGTTAGGTAATGATTAACCCTTGTACTAACTTTCTTTTCCAGGGTGAATTTCACCTACAGTATGGAAATAGACTATTGCCTTGTCAGCAGACCGCACACCCATTCTGATTTCATACCTCTGCCTGGAAGAAGAGTACAAGGATCAGATTACATGGATCCCTAAGGCCAGAGATCTATTTTAGGTCAAACCACTTCTTTTAGGTCTTCTT